GCGGGGAAGGCGCCGGCACCCACCCGGGCCCAAGACACCGGCCTCTGCGTGCTGAGGGCGCGGGCGCGTCCCCGGCCACGGGGCGCCAGGACACTGCGGGACCGCATCTCCGCTCGCCGCATCCCGCACCCCGCTCCCCGCATCCCCTTATCCCGCTCTCTGCCCCAGCCGCCGGCCGCCGTCTCCGCCTTGGTTTCTGCCTTTTACAGATCATGGTCGGACTCGCCTACAGAGTCCACGGGTCAGCAGGTCCCTTTTCTATGGAGCTTTCCTGACTGCCTGTGAGTTTCGTCGCACCGTTTCTCCTGCTTTGGGGACCACAGGCCGCAGATGCCAGCCGCATAGTCGGGGTGGAGGAGACCAGCCCCTCCGTCTTGCCCCACCCCCTTGAGTCCCCACAAGGCGTCTGTTCCGTGGATCTCTAGATGTGTGGGTGCTCGTGGGCAGACACACCGATGGCCTGGGGACACCCAAGCATTCCAGTGGGACAACACTCCATGAAAAGCGCTGCTGGGCGGGGAGCACCCCGGGTTTATGGGAGCAGAACCCCGCCCAGTTCTGAGGAGCTGAGCAGGCTTCCTGGAGTCCCACAATTTCGGACTCTAAGCTGGACCCTAAAAGTTGGGTACAACGAACGAACAAACGTAGAGAATACCTTTAATTTGTTTCAGTGCGTCCCCAGCATGGACCCCTCTGCAGATTTAATCAAGTCCCATGACGAGTCCTGCAGATTCTCACTTAAATCCCAGAATGTAAATGAGCTCCAGGCACGTGTCCTTTCTCCAAACATGGGGCCCTTCGCCCCGGCCTCCATCCCCAGTGCTGGGCGTCTCCGAACACATCTCATTCACACGGCACTCATGGATCACTACCGAATCAGCCCTTTACGGGAAGAAGGGGGGATCCGCCTGGGAAACAAGAACCCCTGCAAAGTGAAGCTAAGGACCCCTGACACCCGGGTGGGTGTGGGTGAGCTGAGGCCGCAGGCAGGACCCAGAGGCTGGGGCAGGGTTCCCGGGGACCATGTGGTGTCAGAACTTAGACCCGGCAGTCTAAGACTATGCGGGTGTCCTATCGTACCCCAAACATCACTACGCACCAGGCAACCATCTTAAACGCTACACGTTCCCCCAACAACAACAAAACAAGGAACCCAGCCAGATGAGTGCAGTGATAGATGCATGGACTGCGTATCATGAGAGCAAGGTCAAGGGCATGGTTGCTGTTCCCTGGGAAGTCCTGGGCAGGCGACACACAGGCTAGGCTCTGAATACAGAGACAGAGCTCCCAGGTGAAGGAGCAACGCCCATGAGAAACTGGGAGAGAAGATTCTAGACCGGTCTGTGTAAAGAGAGAAAGTATGGTCTATTTAAGGAAGAGCGAGGAATTCTGTATGGCTGACGGGGCTTCTTTGGGGTAAGAGGGGTGAGGTTCATAAGAGAGGAGACCAGAAAGGGAGAGACCTTCTGAGTCGTCTAAGGATTCGGATTCTGAGGTAATGGTGAAGGAAGGAAGCCATATAACTCTGAGTTTATGGCCTCTTAGAAAAGGTTTCGAAACAGGAAGACTGGAGGGAGAGAGACCGGTCAGGGGATTGATGGGATCATCTAGGAAACATATCATGAGGGTCTGAGCTAGTCCGCACAGCAGCTGTGGGCATAGAGATGACAGGGTGAATCCGGGATGTGTTTGAACCAGAGTCAGCAAGATTTGCCGAGACAAACAAGCAGAAAGAGACATTTGGTCTCTCGCTTGGGTACCTAACGGAGCATCCAAGCGGACAGTCCAGGAGGCAGCTAGTTAGCTAGGTCTGGGGGTTTTGGAGGGAAGACAGGGTTCATGATTGAAGTCTGATAGTCGTTCGCTTAAAAATAGGGGATGGAAGCCAGAGAGTCGGAACCAGGGCAGGAGTCGGAACCCAAGCCTCTAGTTTACTTCTGTTTCTTGAGCACCTACTATGTTCCACGGCTCGCTGGAGATTCAGAGGTGTGAACAGAGGAAGGCCCTGTGCTTCTACAATGAGGAGGACCGGGAGAACGCAAGGGTCTGGGCCGCCAGGCCTCCAGCGCCTCGCCCAGACATCGCTGAAGTCTGGTTGTATCTCGCTCATCGGACATCTCTAATCTGCTGATGGAATACACTCAACAACAGCGACGGCTCCTCCCGAGCTGCTTTCTGAATTTCAAGGTCGGTGAGGGCAGATCCGCTGCAGATCCCGGCCCAGCCCCATGAAGCCGGAGCTCCATCCTGTTGACCGAGTTTAACCCCACACTGCCTGGATGATCCGGCCTCGTCGAGGGGTCTGATGTCACAGTTAAATGCACTTGGTCAAGATAAACTCGGGGGTCCCTCTCATCGAAATCCGTTTACCACTGAGTGTCGACACTGATGATCGAAAGAGAAGGATTAAATGAGGTTTTCCTTTGTTTCTCGATGGTTCTCTGATTATGCAATTATTTCGCATTTTCCAGACGAGCGTGTATCGTTTTGTAAAATGAGGCTGAGCAGGATGAAAACCTTTTAAAGACGCTTTCTGGTGTGTTATCTAGAGGATTCACTTGGCGTGTTTAAAGAAAGCACCTGCATTTCCTTATGGATGACTCCACGCTGCCAAAACGCCGAAGACATGACGTGAAGACATGAGCGGAAAACATAGCCTTCGTCGTCACGTTGGGCCTTTGGTAATAAGTGGAAGGCTGCAGAGATCTTTCCATGGTTCGTCTTCTTCATTACCGAAATACCCACCAGACAAACAAAATGACCTCTAGCGAGGATATTTTTTTTTTCCAGTCTTTTTTATATTGTTGGCGTGTTTACACAGCTGTGTTCATGTTGTAGCATTTTTATCCTGCTTGTCTCACTTAACGCTATCTGTATATCATGTTTCAAAGCCTGTCTCTGTGAGTCGTATTTAAAGCCATTGTGTTACTTTCCATCGAGCGGATGTGCTATTGTTTGTCTAGGCATTCCCTGACACGTGAAAACTTAGACTGGTTCCGGTTTTTCCTTATTCTAAACGATGACTCTCAGAGATGACATTATGGAGACAAGTGATAGGACAAGGTGGAAGGCTCTCGAAACATGGTCCATTGTCTTCTAAAACGGCCCTGGCACCTTATCTGTTGAATTCCTCCCACCGCCGAATGCGCTCTGTCTCCCCCGTGTGCCTCATGCTGGGAGGCGTCACCCTCCTTCCGCCCAGAGCTCCGAGGTCACCCTACTCTGCACCGTCTCTCTTCCTCCGCCACCCACCCACGTCCTCCTCTGCGGTCCCTCCACCTTGGCCAGCTGGTGCCCCCCCCCTTCCCGCAGATTCTCCTATAGATCTCAGGAATCTCTCGCTTTCTTCCCACCCCCACGGCTGCTGGCCTCTCAGCCTCCATCACGTTCCCCCTGGACGATTTCAGCAGCCTCGTCCCCCTCAGTCCCTCCTCCTCGGGGCTTGTGGATGAACTG